TTCTCCAGGCTGAACACCCCAACTCTCCCAGCCTGGCTCCACAGCAGAGCTGCTCCAGCCCTCCCATCGTCTCCTTGGCCTCCTCTGGACTCTCCATGAGCTCCATGTCCTTCTGATGTTGAGGTCTTCAGAATTGGACACAGTTCTCCAGGTGGGATCTTGCATTCCAATAGAAAATGGCCCAACACCCACCATATTTTTAAAGATTTATCTAAGAAACAGAAGGTTTGGGTGCAGAAGACAAGCCTGTAGTTGATCCCTTGTAGATCAACTTTTAATCTAAACATTTTCCAAATACTTTAGGTTTTCCAATGTAATCTCTAATTGCTGTTTTAGTCAGCTTCATTGTCTTTTTTTTTTTTTTTTCGCTTGGAAAAACTTTGCCTTTATTATTTTATTAAGTATTTTTAAACTTATGAAACCACCCCACTGTTTTGTATGAAAAGTTCAGTCCCAGCTCCCTCAGCCTTTCCTCATCAGGGAGATGCTCCAGTCCCCCAGCCATCTCTGTTCCCCTCCCCTGGACTCTCTCCAGCAGATCCCTGTCCCTCTGGAACTGGGGAGGCAGAACTGGTCTCAGTTCTCTAGATAGAGCCTCACCAGGGCAGAGCAGAGGGGCAAGATGACCTGTCTGAACCTGCTGGCCACACTCTTCCTCATGCACCCCAGGATTCCATTGGCCTTCTTGGACACAAAGGCACATTCCTGGCTCATGGATCATTTACTGTCTACCAGATCCTTCTCCTCAGAGCTGCTCTCCAGCAGGTCCACCCCTCACATCTCTTGGTACCTGGATCCTTCCTCCCCAGGTGCAGGACCCTCCACTCACCCTTCTTGAGCCTCATGAGGTTCCTCTGCCCAGCTCTCCAGCCTGCCCAGGTCTCTGGATGGCAGCACAGCCCTCTGCAGTGTCACCACCCCTCCCAGTTTGGTGACACCAGCTGAGTTCACACTCTGTGCCTTCATCCAGGGCATTGATGAAGATGTTTCACAAGACTGGGCCAAGTACTGACCCCTGGGGACACCACTGACCACAGGCCCCAAGTGGACCCTGCTCCATTGGTCACAACCCTCTGAGCTGTGTCACACAGCCAGCTCTCCATCCACCTCACTGGACACTCATCCAGCCCATAGCACTTCATAGAACTGAAGTTTGTTATACTTTGGCTTTTTTTCCCTAACTAATCACAGAATATTCAGGGTTGGAAGGCACCTCCAAAGATCATCGAGTCCAACCCCCCTGCCAGAGCAGGACCAAAAAAAAATAACTAGGGCAGGTCACTCAGAAACACATCCAGGTGGGTCTTGAAAGTCTCCAGAAAAGGAGACTCCACAGCCTCTCTGGGCAGCCTGCCCCAGGGCTCTGTCACAGGAAAGAAGTTCTTCCTCATGGTGGGGATGGAACTTCCTGTGCTCCAGTTGGAATCCACTGCCCCTCGTCCTATCCCAGGGCACAAGTGACAAGAACTTGTCCCTCCCTTCTTGATGCCCTTGTGTGTTGATAGACATTCATTAGATCCCCCCTCAGTCTTCTCCTCTCCAGACTGAACAGCCCCAGGTCTCTCAGCCTTTCCCTATCAGGCAGATGTTTCAGTCCCTTAATCATCCTTGTAGCCTCTGTTGGACTCTCTCCAGCAGATCCCTGTCCCTCTGGAACTGGGGAGGCAGAACTGGACCCACTACTCCAAGTGAGGTCTCACCAGAGCAGAGAGGGAGGAGAACCTCCCTTGATCTGCTGAAGACACTCTTCTTAATGCACCCCAAGATACCATTGGCCTCCTTGGCCACAAAGGCACATTGTTGTCCCATGGAGAACTTGTCTGCTAGGACTCCAAGGTCCTTCTCCACAGAGCTGCTCTCCAGCAGGTCTCATCTTAAGCGCTTTCTATTACTGACTATAAAGTGATTTGGGGCTCTTGGAGGCACCAGTGTGGTCCCATCATTTTGAAATTCTCTGTTCATTCTGTATAACTCACCTGTCTAATCCCTCTCTGCTGGGTTAGGTTGGTTTTTACCTTTCCCGTGACTTCCACTTGGGAAGTTGATGTTTATTTACTGAGGATATAATTGTGTTGGGATCTTAAAAAGAAATCAGCTCCTGTTTGAGGAGAATGTCTGTGGTTGAATGTTTTATAACAATGTCACATGTGACTCTGGTTTTATGCAAGGATGGGCAGGGGATAGACAGCGATGTTCTCGAGAGGAGATTTGAAAGTATTTCTTGGCAAGTCTGTCTACTGCAAAGTATTTCAGCAAATAAAGCCACCACAGTTTCAAAAGGTCAAATTCCATAGTTTCAAGGTACTTAGAAGATGGATTTGGCTCAATTACGAGGTGGAGTTGTGGTCAATTTGGTATCCATGCTAATTTTAGGAATTCAAGCTATTTATTAGATTATGTAAGAAGCCAAAAGATTTGGCAAGGATTCAGGGTAATTAGTATGACTGAGGCAATCAAATACAGCTTTAATATACCTAAATATTGTAGGTCTTCTTGCTGTTCCCATTGCTACATTGTCTAAGCATTCTGACATCTGTATGGAATGTTAAGATACTGAAGACATTTCCAGATTACTTTTAGTGCATAAACGTTCTGTCTTCACAAGAGTTGGTTCCAAAATTAGACAACTTGGAATCATAGAATCATTGAATGGTCAGGGTTGGAAGGCACCTCTGGAGATCATCCAGTCCAACCCCCCTGCTAGAGCAAGATTCCCTAGAGCAGATCCCACAGGAACATCTCCAGGTGAGTTTGGAATGTCTCCAGAGAAGGAGCCTCCACAACCTCTCTGGGCAGCCTGGCCCAGGGCTCTGCCACCCTCACAGGACAGAAGTTCTTCCTCATGTTGAGGTGGAACTTCCTGTGTTCCAGTTTGTGTCCATTGCCCCTTTTCCTATCACTGAGAAGAGCCTGGACCGTCCTTCTTGTCACCCATCCTTCAGATATTTATAAACATTAATAAGATCCCCTCTCAGACTTCTCCAGACTAAGAGGCCCCAGATCTCTCAGAGAGCTTTCATGGATTTCATAGAGGCCTTCTTCAGGCATTTGGATGTGGAAGTCACCTTCAGGCCTTAAAATTGGCACCCTTTGACTAGGCTAGAACATTCCTTCTCTCTGGGCAGGCTGCATCCTGGTTGCTGTGGGAACCAGCATTTTAAATTTCCTGACTTCTGTGAACATGCAAAATTGTAGCTGTGATGTATCACAGAATCAATAAAAACTTCACAATTTTGACATGAAATTAAGATATCCCAGTTGTAACTGGTAGTACTTTACCCAGCTACTAATGACTTAGCAATGGGAAGGGTAATTAATAAGTTGTGTTCCAAACTGCAGCTCTTCCTTCAGGAAAGGATTGTTCTTGGTTGGCTGATTTTTAGTAAGAAATTAATAAAACAACCAAACAACATTGTGTTTTTCTGCTTAGGGGAAAAAAAAAACAACCTACAAACAATATTTTTAGCCCACTGGCCCTTTTTTGGGGAAATACTCCAAGTTAATTGTCTCATAGAAAGGTTGAGGGGATAGCTGAGTAAGACCTACTGCATACAGTTGTGGTGTCCTCAGCACAAGGAAGATCTAGACCTGTTGGAGAAGGTCCAGAGAAGGGCCATGGAGCTGATGGGAGGGCTGGAGCAGCTCTGCTCTGGAGCCAGGCTGGGAGAGTTGGGGTGTTCAGCCTGGAGAAGAGAAGGCTCCAAGGAGACCTTAGAGCAGCTTCCAGTGCCTGAAGGGGCTCCAGGAAAGCTTGGGAGGGGCTTCTCATCAGAGAGGACACTGATAGGACTAGGGGGGATGGTTTTAAACTGAGAGAGGGAAGATTTAGGTGAGATATTAGGAAGAAATTCTTCACTCTAAGGGTGGTGAGGAACTGGGATGGGTTGCCCAGGGAGGTTGTTGATGCCCCATCCCTGGAGGTTTTTAAGGCCAAGTTAGATGAGGTTTTGTGCAACCTGGTCTAGTGGGAGGATTCCCTGCTCATGGCAGGGGGGTTGGAACTGGATGATCTTTAAGGTCCCTTCCCACCTTAATGATTCCATGATTCTATGACATGCTAAGATCTTAATACTAAATACGATTGAAGGTATTTTTTGTGGTACAAAACTCATTATCTGGACTGAAGCCTCAGCTCAAGTGACTTCATCACTGGAGAATGTGTTTGCAATGTATATTTCCAAAAATCATCAGGGGGGCACAGGGTGGTGTGTAGGTGGGACAGAGGAGTAGCAGCTTGTTACAGGTATTGCGTATTTTGCCATGGGCACCAGCTTGCTCAGTTGGCTTTATGAACCTTGAAAAATAAGGTGAATCATTCACTCCTGCCTCCCAACCCTTTCTTCACTTCATCATGTTGATTTTTTTGCTTGAGGAAGCTTGGAAGGGAATTGTTTGCCAGTCAGTTGTGCTCAGGTGGCTCCTGTCTTTTTTTGAAGTTTAATTTCTAATGGTGTTCTCAATGTTTGTGGTAAGTGGCTCAGCTTTTTACATTGCTCATGGCCCAAACTCCTTCCCAGTGGTGGTTCAGCTGTTCTGACCTCCTGCCTGGGAACTTCACAGCTACCATTAGCAACATGGAACCATCTAAGTTGGAAAAGACCTTTTAAGATATCAGGTCCAACATGCTTCTGGTTTGAGCTTTTCTGTGTTAAACACGTATAGGATTTTTTCCCAACATATTTAATTTTGCCCCCCTTCTTTATGCCTTTTCTGACCTTTATCTGCATCTGCTCCAGTCAGATCTTTTTTCCCTTCCTGGTGTTTGCACTGGCATTGA